CCCAATGTCCCCGCTGTCCCCAGGCCATCGTGGAGCGCTGGCTGTGGCAGCACCGGTGGCTGTCCCCAATGTCCCCAGGGATGTCCCCAGGGATGTCCCCAATGTCCCCACTGTCCCCAGGCCATCGTGGAGCGCTGGCTGTGGCAGCAGCGCCGGCTGCGCCGGCAGGACCTGGGCCGGGCTGAGTTCCTGCGTGAGGTTTGGCGCTGGAAGGAGCGGTGAGGGGACACCGGGGACCTTGGGGACACCTCGGGGACACCTCGGGGACACCTTGGGGACGTCCCCGGGGGGTGGCCCCGCGGTGTCACCGCCCTGTCCCCTCCAGGCACGGGGACGAGATCCTGCAGCAGCTGCGGGCGCTCGGGGCCTCGCTGGACTGGAGCCGCTGCGCCTTCACCATGGACCCCGTCAGTGTCCCCAAGTGTCCCCAACTGTCCCCAGGGGTCACTGGGCTGTCCCCAAGTGTCCCCAAGTGTCCTGGTTGTCCCTAACTCTTCCAGTCTGGCCCTAAAGTGTCCCAAACTATCTCCAAAGCATCCCAGAATTGTCCCCAAACTGTCCCCAAGGGTCACTGGGCTGTCCCCAGATGTTCCCCAAGGGTCTCTAAGGGTCACTGAGCTGTCCCCAAAGTGTCCCCAAGTGTCCTAACGCTCCCCAGGTGTTCCAATCTGGCCCCAAAGTGTTCCCAACTATCCCTGAAGCATCCCAGAATTGTCCCCAAGCTGTCCCCAAACTGTCCCCAGGGGTCACTGAGCTGTCCCTAAGTGTCCCCAAGTGTCCTGGCCATCCCCAGAAGTTCTAATCTGGCCCCAAAGTGTTCCTAACTGTCCCCAAATCATCCCAAGATTGTCCCCAAATTGTCACCAGACTTTCCCCAGCTGTCCCCAAGGGTCACTGAGCTGTCCCCAAAGTGTCCCCAAGGGTCCCCAGCTGTCCCCAAGTGTTCTGGTTGTCCCTAAGTGTTCTAATCTGGCCCAACAGTGTTCCCAACTGTCCCCAAAGCATCCCAAGATTGCCATCAGCCTGTCCCCAAGTGTCCCCAAACCTCCCTGAAGTGTCCCCAGGGTGTCCCCAAGTGTCTCCTGCTGTCCCCAGAGTGTCTCCAAGTGTCCCCAGAGTGCCCCAAACCTTCCCAAACTCCCCCAAACTTGTCCCCAACTCTCCTGAACTCCCCTGTACTGTCCCCAAACCTCCCCGAGCTGTCCCCAGAGTGTCCCCAAGCGTCCCCTCCGTGTCCCCAGGGCTTCTCCCGCGCTGTCACCGAGGCCTTCGTGCGGCTCTTCCGGGCGGGGCTGATCCGGCGCGACCAGCGGGTGGTGACGTGGAGCTGCGCCCTGCGCTCGGCGCTGGCCGACGTCGAGGTGTCCCCAAATGTCCCCAAGGGTGTGAGCTGCGCCCTGCGCTCGGCGCTGGCCGACGTCGAGGTGTCCCCAAATGTCCCCAAATGTCCCCAATGTCCCCAATGTCCCCAGTGTCACCTGGAGCTGCGCCCTGCGCTCGGCGCTGGCCGACGTCGAGGTGTCCCCAAATGTCCCCAAATGTCCCCAATGTCCCCAATGTCCCCAGTGTGACGTGGAGCTGCGCCCTGCGCTCGGCGCTGGCCGACGTCGAGGTGTCCCCAAATGTCCCCAAGGGTGTCCCCAATGTCCCCAGTGTCCCCAGTGTGACGTGGAGCTGCGCCCTGCGCTCGGCGCTGGCCGACGTCGAGGTGTCCTCAGTGTCCCCAATGTCCCCAGTGTCACCTGGAGCTGCGCCCTGTGCTCGGCGCTGGCCGACATCGAGGTGCCCCCGATGTCCCCAAATGTCCCCAATGTCCCCAAGGGTGTCCCCTGGGGGCTGTGACCCAGCCTGGCCGACATCGAGGTGTCCCCAAATGTCCCCAGGGGTGTCCCCAATGTCCCCAGTGTGACCTGGAGCTGTGCCCTGCGCTCGGCGCTGGCCGACATCAAGGTGTCCCCAATGTCCCCAGTGTCCCCAAGGGTGTCCCCTGGGGGCTGTGACCCAGCCTGGCCGACATCAAGGTGTCCCTAAGGTCCCCAAAGGTGTCCCAAATGTCCCCAAACGTGTCCCCAGGGTCCCTGACCTGCCCTGCCCCCCCAGGTGGAGCCCCGTGTCCTGACGGGCCCCACGGCGCTGAATGTCCCCAACTGTCCCCACCCCGTCACCTTCGGCGTACTCGTCACCTTCGCCTACCCCGTGGAGGGGGACGACGGTGGGTGGCACCGGGGACATCCAGGGTGGCACTGGGGACATCCAGGGTGGCACTGGGACACTGAGGGTGGCACTAGGGACATCGAGGGTGGCATTGGGGACACTGGGGGTGGCACTGGGGACATCCAGGGTGGCACTGGGGACATCCAGGATGGCATTGAGGACACTGGGGGTGGCACTGGGGACACTGAGGGTGGCATTGGGGACATTCCAGGGTGGCACTGGGACACTGAGGGTGGCACTGGGGACATCCAGGGTGGCTTTGGTGGCACCTGGGAGTGGCTTTGGGGAGGGGGTTCAGGGCTCCTGTCCTTGGCTGTCACCTGAGTGTCCCTTGGTGCCCGCAGCGTGTCTCTTGGTGTCCCCTGGGTGTCACCTCGCTGTCACTTGGGTGTCACCTGTGTTCCCTGAGTGTCCCCTGGGTGTCCCCAATGTGTCCCCGGATGTCCCCTGGTATCCCTTGAGTGTCCCCTGTGTGTCACCTGGATGTCCCCGGGTGTCCCCTGAGTGTCCCCTGGGTG